TTTTTTGCAGCCTTTCACTTATGGTTGGGTTTGGGTTTTTATAAGATGGATAAGGAAGGAGGCAAAGAACACAAAAGGACAATTTTTTTACCAAAAACAACTGACTCTTGACATGGAGAACTGAAATTCAGCCCTTTCTGTTCCTGAGTTCTCACACAATACAAGGACAAGACATTTAAACCCAGACTTTTCATATGAACATTAATGGCACATTCTTTGTATCTTGAATGCAGCAGTGAAATTGAAACACAAGTAAATGCATCACTCCAAAACTCACAGAGGAAGAAATTTAGCCATCTAAACTATTGTTTGAGGCAATATGCTGAACACAACAGTCTGGAGTTGTATCATCCTACTCAAAAAGGCAGAATCCTTACCAGTATTTTGGCCAGTATGCCATCATCACTTGATTCCATGGTTATCACTGCTTTGTCTGTTTCAATTTCACACAAGGCATCTCCAGCACTCACTGGTTCACCTGCAAAACACAACAGCTCTTAAGAATACTGATCCTAAACTTCCTTTCAGAGCTATTTAACCATGGAAGATTTTATCCCTGTAATATAGCCATTCACCTTTAATGCATTACATAGCTAGTTGATCCCCCAGTGTTTTTTATCATATTCTATCTTTCATTTCCAAATGAAACCACTAAGATTCAGAGACACAAAGTGCTGCAGCAGAACATGAACATCTTCCAATCACTGATGTTTACATTAGTTTTCCCAAGAAGGACACATACAATCACATTTCTTACCATCACTAATACTGCTCTGAATAAAATAATGAGCCTCCCATATCAATCACTAGGCAGAAGTCAAAGCAAGCTAGCTAAATTTCTCATTTTTAAGGCAATGGTCACAGGCAGCAACATCTTGAAGTAGATGGCCAACTTTAGAACTGAAATTACATGGAAAAAAAGCTTTGAGGTAGCTGAATGTTTCAGCCTACAATAAAATACCCTTTCTTTACAGAGCACTGAAAAATAGGGACAAGACATTCAAAACACAAAGCAGCACCTTATCTTTTTCATTTAATAATCTGATTGCCACACTGTACTTGGTAATAAATACAGCAAAACCAGCCTATTAATTCCACTCAATGATTAATTCATGTAGTACATATTAGATTATTAGGCAACTGCTTCAGAGATGTTAAGAAATCAAATTGTTGGGCAAATTCTGTAACCTAAACAGCTAAGATAGGGAAGCAAAAAGGAGTTTAACAGCTGCAATCAGGCTGTAGGAAGGAGAGTAGAAGAGCACAAGCCAGCCAAAGCAAACAATTTCATCCATGTGTTTGCCACACATGACATCTCTTAACCTGTTCCCAAAAAGCTAAAGATTTCCTTGCACAGGAACTAGACAAACCATTTCTCCACTACCTGGTTCCCTTCCACTGCTGCACCCAAGAAGTGGGGGTAAGTTTGGATGGCAATTGTTTAAACAGCATTTTAAGGAGAATACTTCCTAGCAGCATTCAAAAAAAAAAATCTCATTTGTGTTTCAGTACCAAAGCACAGTAAAGAGCCATGGTCATTTTCATTAGAGACTGCACAATCTGTGAGAGCTCCTAGTTGATGCCCACTTTGATGTTAATTACCAAAGAGCATTCCCAACAGAAAGGGCTGGAAAGAAGACTTTTGCAGAGTCTATATCTTTCCTTTTATACTTTCTAATGAGAGAGCAGTATTTGCAATAGAAGTTGCCTGAATGGCAGCTCTCTGAGATTCTATATGATGAAAAAAAATCTCAGGAGGGGAGGTTGGGAGTTTGTTTGTTGGTTTATTTTTAAATTAAGGTCTTACAGCCAGGCTGATCTCCACTGAAGCTGAGTTTCCCTCTAGATCACATCCAACTGGCTGAGTGCTCTGGTCAATCACTGCCAGACAAGTATCCAAATCACAAGAAGGGATCACTGCATTCCTTGATGTACTCTTTGCAAATCAAATCAAAGCTGACTGAGCACGGGGACTGAAGTCCCTGGAAGTGATGTCTCAGAAGGCAGCAGCTACACTGCACCAGGAAACTGCCAGCACTGCTGCCTATTCTCTTTCTTGCCCACAATAACAAGAGGATTTTGGTCTCCTGGGCTGTCAATCTATCAGCTTTCATCACCACTAAATTCATACATAATAAATACAGGGTTTTAAAACCATCACTTGAATGAGAATTGCTTTATTCCCCACAGGAATCAATATGAAACTGCATGAACAATGAGAAGGAAATAGTAAAGCTCTTAAATTCAGCATTCAGTGGTGAAATCATCTGTCCATCCTGTGAAACCATGAAATGAAAACATGGTATTGACACAAAGAGCAGGAAAATTACCCAAATAGGATTTTACTGACCCCTGCTGGTTATACAATGGGAAAAACCATTTCCTGTGTAATCATCAGCTTTCTTCTGTCAATGGCTTTAAAATATTTACTTTCCTGGACAGAAGGTTATCAAACATGTCATTTAATGTTGTCATATTTATTTTCCAGGCTGTCAGAGGGAAGAAAAATATCTATAGAAACTGTTTATGGTCACAGCTGTGCCAAATAAAACTATATACTGCATTCTGGTTTAGTCCTGCTCCTAAATGGCAATTTTTAATGTCTCACAGTTATTGACAACTAATTAATAGAAAAAGGGCTTTGGTTTGTTCATTTCTTTCTGCACAATCTTGGACTTGATACTCAACTAATTGAAGTTTCAAGAATGTTTGTGCAACTACTTTTTACAGAGTGTTATATTGTTCCTAGTAAATTCTGCAGAACTTCATACTGGAATTTTTATAAGCAAGGTCATGTCCACTACTGGAAGCCTTCTGGTCACCTCTCAAAACAGATGCAAAATGTATAAAAAAAGTCAAGTCCTTCACTAAGGCAATGAAAGAGGCTGTATCAACACTTCAAAGAGAAGCCAGAGGAAATGGGTTATGGAGGCACAACAGTCAAAACATGTTTAGCTCACCAAACTGTGTCTGTCAAGAATACACTTTAAGGAATTTTCTTTTCTCCAAACACATTTCTCTCTTTAGCAAATCTAAAAATGTCTGAGAATAAGATACTTCTCTTACTTCCTCTGTAATTCATCCTACACTAGTGGACAACTGCTACCTGGAATCCCAAACTACAGTCAAAATCCAGTTTTAATATTAAACTAGAGAGGGCAAAGGGGAAGAGGAGTAGTAAGAAAGGTCTCCTGACAGCAGAGGGACTGCTAAATCTTCTGCAGATCATTTCTCAGTTACATACAACCTAAATGAAGACAAAACACTCAGATTATATATGGCTGCTCCAACACTTGAACAGAAGTAGCGCACTTTTCAGTTGTCAGAAAACAACCTCAAATATCCAATATCATTAGGGTAATTAATTAGAAAAACTATTCCACAAAAAAATTACCCTTTTTTTTTGTGGTTGGTTTGGTTTGGAGTTTTTGTTTGTTTGGAGTTTTGTTGTTGGGGGAGTGAGAGAGAAACTACCCCATTTAGAAACATTTTAAGTTACTTTCCTAACCCAAATTCCATCAGTTTCAATTGAAGACTATAAATCAGGTATTTGAAAAAGTCAGCCCTGAATAGCAACTATTAAAATGCCCTATCTTCTATGTTCATTTGTAACACAGCAGAATAATGAAACAGACTCCACAAAGGGTCTCAGGCTTTCAAATTTTCTCATCAATAATATTTAATCCCCATAATTTAATGAGAATTAAAAACAGCACATACACTCTTACATCCTGGAACAGCCTAATGGAATTTTTTTTTAAAATGTTTTCCAAAAGTTTCCATTTATGACAAGTAAAGGAAAAATGTTCTGAGAACCAACCAATTTTAAAGCAGGTATTGTTCAAGAAGAGAGCAACCATGGACCAAACATTCTGCTTCAAAATACCAGGCTATGACCAGAAAGAATGATTTTATTCTTACAGATTTACATAGCTGAAGAATTACAGCAAATGTAGCCCTAGGAAATGCTGTCTCACCTTCCTTTTTTAACCATTTCACAATGTTGCCTTCTTCCATTGTAGGAGAAAGTGCAGGCATGAGAACTTTAATACCAGGTGTACCTGTAAAACAAGCACATGATTATCAAGACATTTTCAAAACTGAGCAACAAGTTTACACCACTATAAGATTTGCTGTTCCATGTCCTGAGCAACTACCACCAAAAACACTGGCCACTCTGACCCTCTGATGAAATTAAAAGGTCCAGCAGCAACTACACATGAAGTAGGTAAAATAAACACTCAAACTGACCTTTGAAAGTACAGGACTATGTCTTTAGTAGCTGAATCTTCTCAGGCACTTAATGACTTCCTAACAGTCACACTGCAACAAAACCACAACCCACAGACTAAACCCACTTGACAAAACCTCTAAGTGGGAGATCAAGCAAGTACTTGCAATGGGAACTACATAAAAATAATTGTTTCCTTCATCCTCCCCCAGCTTTCTACCAGGTACACAGAATATTTGACTTCTGAGGCCCAGACAACTAATGAAGGTTTGTTATTATTGCACAGAGAAATGTCTCTGCTACCTGGAAAAGACCAATATATAATATACCCAAAAGGAAAATTCATTTTAAAAATATCTACAGTGTTCTGCTGTTTGTATTTGGGAAGACATGAGGAGCTGAAGGCTGCTCAGCAGCTTCAGCAGGCAATAGAACTCCTCTTATAGAGATAATATTATCTCCATATCACTGCTATAAATCCAAATGCTAGCAGAATAATTCATTCAGCACCATAAAGCAAAACTTCCAGTCCCATGCTTTCTGCTCTAAATAAAGTATTATAAATCAAATAGCCTCCTTTCCCATCTTGACCTATGAAAACATTTCAGTTGAACTCCATCTTCATGAATCTAGAAGTATATTTAGAAACTCTGAGAAAAATCAAGCCTGAAAATAAGCCCTGTGCTCCACTTTGAAGATGCTCAATACAAAACCTATAAAAATCAAGTAATAAAGTTTACTACTACCTGGAAGGCTGCTAACATTTTACTTCCAAATTAAATTACATATGAATGTTATGCTATTCTCTGTGGTGGTTTCATTCAGAAGAAGAAATATCTGGCTGTAAGAGTCTATGGATTGTCTCTGCAGACTTAAAACATTTTACAAGAACAAGATTCCCACTGTTGCCTTCCCTGAAAGTGTTCACTGGAAGATCAACTCTTAATTCCCAGCTACTATCCATTAATTTTATTGCTATCAACAGTATATTTATTATATTTTATTATTATATTACCAGCAACAGTAACTGTGTTATTACACATCAGTTCTGTTCACAAAGAGGGAAGAAGACTTGAAAAAACCCTCACATGAACAGCAGCTGATATTTGAAAGAAAACTTTGTGTACCCAAGACAATTTGTTCTTGGTGACACGTTTTAAGAACCAGCCTGAATTTGGGCATGACATTCCTGTCTCCTTCCTTCTCCATGCAGAGCTTCAGTGTAAAGAGCAGGGCTTTAAGAGAAGAGCAGACCACTACACCTCTACAACACCCTACTAACTACAACCCATTGACAGTGGATTTTGTACTGAGTATAACACAGGCTCATTACCTCTTTTCTACCTCCTCTCATAAAAACCTCATAGAGAAACAGCCACAGCATTGTCAAACAACAATAAAGTCTGGAGACAAATGCTTTAATATGCCCCACCAGAGAAAAATTTCATAGCTTCCTAAGTCACAACAATGCTAAAATAAAACTGATTTAACTTTAAATTCTCAAGCTATCAACCAAGAGTGAGTTTTCTGTCTAGAAGAGCTGTACTTCACCACAGTAGCTAAGAAGACTTTAGAGAAGATATCTTTAAGAAGTTAGATAATAAGACTAATTTAGAGGTAGCTAATCCTACATTGGACAAAAGCTTTATGAAGAGGGAAGCAATTTTTTTTCTAATAAGATTTTAAGATAGTAAAATTTGTTTCAAGACCAGCAATAGCCATTCCTATATCACACACAGCAAAAGGTTTTCATACTGCAAAGCAGCAAAACCCACCAATGCTGGAAAGAAGGGTATACTGAGACCTAAAACACAATTATTAACAAGTCTCTAAACTGCTACTGAGTTTTACTGTAAAATTCACATAGATTTATTGCACAAGGTTAACAAGAGCTCACTTCTTTTTAAATACACTTCCAAACCAAAGACTTCATATATTTTATGCTTAGTATCACACAATTACCTAACAACAACACGCCTGATTCCTGTTTAAATCCTTTAAAAGGTGGAACTAAAAGAGCAAGTAGAAAAAAAAGATCACATCTCATTTGGGGATCCAAAACTCTTCCAACATAGGAAAACACAAAGTAAATAGGTGATCAACCTGTTAAGTCTGAAACAAGACTCCTGAGATAAGAAACAATAGCTTTGCCATAGCCTCAAAGGTGGTCTTCTACATAGCAACACATGCTACACATGCAATTAATAAATTCAAGCTCCATTAAAAAATAAAAGCATAAAATAAAGCTTCTATGCTCTTCTCCAGCTACCTGAAATATGCACAACATTGAGACAACAGAAAAGGGGTAGAACCTTTAAATGCTGGGGGGAAAAAAAGCCAGCAAAACAAAAAGCTTCCTCTTTAATTATACTTACATCTAGAAAACACTTAACTACTATCAATTAGCAGCACTTTTTTCTTACCCACAACAGAACGTTTGACTTTTTGAAGTTCTTCTCCAGCTACTTGAAATATGCATAACACTGAGACAACAGAAAGGGGGTAGAATCTTTAAATGCTGGGGGGAAAAAAAAGCCAGCAAAACAAAAAAAAGCTTCCTCTTTAAGTATTTAATTATACTTACATCTAAAAAACACTTAATTACTATCAATTATAAGCACTTTTTTCTTATCCACAACAGAACGTTTGACTTTTTGAAGGCCTAGTTTTCCACCAAGGTGGTTCCCTCTCTAGACGCCAATTCATTGGGGTTTTTTTCCCCCCTTAGTTTTCTAGGCCTTCAATAATTGTCACAGCTCTTCCCGAGTTCTTTCCCCTCAGCCTACACCCTTCCTGCTCCACTTCCAGCACCTCCGAGGACCAAAGCTAACAGCTCCCTGCCAACCTAACCCCTCTCCCC